GATTGTTGTATCAACATTTGGGCTTAGAAATTGGGACGTTACAAAACCCTTATTTGGAATTTAAACCCCAAACCCTAAGTTTATTAAAATCACCTCAAAACCCAACGTTTCTCATACATCAAGAAATAACCAAGTTAAAACTCATAAAGAGTGTAGAAAGTCCCTATCTCAAGTTTAGACGATCAAAGCAACAATGGAGGAGCTTCAAAGACGCCGAAATCAACTTCTACTCAAATCAACACGGAGCTCTTGAGACACTTTACCTTTTTAACAAAGGCACATGGGCAGAGAGATCGCTAGATCTAGGTGAAAATGTAGAGAGAAGTTAAGTTTTAGAGAGAGAGAGGCTGTAGCGATCCCGGTTTCGATCCTGCTTTCATATTTTGCCACTTCGAATGGGTCGGTCAGGGATCGAGCTGCCCGGTCAACTCGCGGCGGTCGAGGGGGTAGCACCCCTTGGTGGGTCCGAGGGCAGTGCCCTGGCGGGGTCGAGGAGCAGCACCCCCGAAACAAAAATGCAAAATGCATTCGAGGTTGCTTGTCCGCTCGAGTGGAGAATGTTTGGTTTCAGAAGTTTAACTTCTCTACAAAAGTATTGGGTTAGTGTATTTGACGCTTGAGCGGGGTTTTCTACTCTCGAGTCGGGCTTTCCACGCTCGAGCGGACCATGTTATATCAGTTCATGAATCTGATATTTCATATCACTTTTTCAGTCCTCTCTCTCTCTAAAACTCGCAAGAATTCCAGATCGGGAGCTTCTCTCTCTAGAAGTCATCTTCTCTCTTTGATTTCTCCGAATCCATTGGGATTTAGACCTAAGTTCTTCAGCAAAGTTGGTTATCATCTCAAGGGCTTCGTTGTGTACGATGAAGATCGAGTTTCGACACTGTTGATTTGGGGGGTTTCATCCCATTTCTTCTTCAAAACTTGAGGTAGGGATTTTCTTAGAGTTATAAATATGTTTTTGCAAGATCTATATAATTTTCGAAATCATCTTTCGATAGCTTTGAAAAATGATTATTGATTCAAGAAGTTGAGCGATTTTGAAAGTGGGTTTCTCTCTTGTTCTTTTAAAATGATCTTATGAGTTTTGATCTTCGTTGATTGAAGAAAAGATGATTTTGGAAAGTTTTCTTTCAAAAGATTTGAGTTGTATAGTTTTGGTGAGAAAACCTAGAATTTGAGGATTTTTTAAGGGACTGAAAATCTATGAATGATATTGTTATATTTATTTTGTGTGCCAAAATAAATAGATTTTTGGAAAATTTCTTATTTATATTTATATAAATGATGAATTTTAGGGAATATGAGAATTATTGTTCATTTTGAAAATTATTGTTCAAAACGTTAAAATAGTCTTGAAATAACTAATTGTTGAGGATACTTGAGAAGAGGGAATTGTGTTATTCCTTGGATGATGAATTGGAATAAAAGTATTTATATTCATGTTGTGTTATTGGCAAATCAATTCATTTGATTACATTAAACTTTGAAAGTTGATTTGAAAACTGGCATTGAGAAAAGAATGTTGAGAAACAAGTTTTCATGGAATGGTTTCGGGGTAAATACGTTGGTAAGTCTTGATAGGTGGTGTAGATGATATTGAATAAGTTGGCCTGAGAGTCTGGGGTGAAAGACCGAAAACCCGCACGGATAGGTGTCGAGCCTTCCGGTTAATACCGGTAAAAATGACAAATTGGTAGCACTTGTATAGTCAGTCTACTTGTAGACACCGACATAGGGATTACCAGAGTCGTATTTACCGCTCCTGAAATGAATTGTTAAGTTTTGAAGAATTGAAATTACATGACATCATTGAGCATGATGGTTTTCAAAGATGAAGATGTGATTTTCTTTGAAAAGGGCATAGCATGGCATGTGCATTTCATCTCTTGAGACTTGTATAAAATGTATATACTTTGTTAAGGATTTCTTACTAGGCTTTATGCTCACCCTACAGGATTTTTGTGCAGGAAAAGATGTGGTGATGCTGCCTAACTAAAGGCGAGGAAATATGTGTGTTGAGAGTACGGGACTCTCATTTTGCTGTGACTCTGTGTGTAAGCCAATGGCTATATGTGTGTGGGTTTGAATAATCATTTTGTGTAACCAAGCTCAAGCCTTAGAAACTTTTTTTTTTGGGTAAGTACAAGCCTTAAAAACTTGTAAACCCTTGGGAGTATTTATTTGTTTATTTTTTTGTTGTTGGATTAATGTATTATTGCATGAAGAACTATTGTATCATGTAATGTTAATTTGGAGATTTATATTCGGTTTTCCTTGAAAGAGCCATGATTGTTGTATTATTATTTGTGCTAGAAATTTGGGCCGTTACAGAGGCTCTAGATCTAGGATTTTTGAAAAGTAAAGAGAGAGAGAGAGAAGTGAAAAAGTGATGTAAAATGACCTTAACATGAACTGATATACGTGCAGTCTTCTCGAGCGTGAGAAGTGACGCTCGAGCTCCAGATACATTGTTCTGCTCAAGTGCAAGTGACGCTCAAGCGCATAATACATCCTTCCAGAAGTTTTACAAACGAAGGACATCGCCCGAGCTCGAGATTGGTTGCTCGAGGGCCCACCCGCTCGAGCGTAGGAAACGTCGCTCGAGCGTAGAATACACTCTTCTAGTATTTTATAGGTCTGCAAAAATAGTAAGAGTTTGAAAAGCCCGCTCGAGTGCAAGAAGTGCCGCTTGAGCGGAGGAGCAAAAATTTGGGCAACAAAGGTTTGAAAAATCAAGCAACAAACATGTTCCAAACACATAACTACAATCCAATAACCAAATTTAAGGAAGAATGAGGGGGAAACGATAATGAACAACATTCAGAAACCATAAGCCTGAGTCTGGAATGCAACAAGAGTCGGGTCAAAACTAGAATCGCTATAAATTGGGTTACCCAATAGGGCTCTCTACGTAAGGAGTATATAGGGAGCCGAAATGATATTGATGTACTTTAACCCTTTCTTCACCTCAGACTTTATATTCACATAACAAATATTATGTGTATATGTATAATCCATCATATTCAAAATAATATTTGGGTTATGATGACACATAAAAATACGTAGGAAGTAGAGAGTTTTGATAAAATATTAACAAATTATGATGGTAGTCTTTATTTTATTTTTTTTGTTGTTGTGTCATTTTTGCTCTTGTAATTTCAGTTAGCTTGATTTTAACCCTGAATTTATGATTTTGTCTCAATTTTTGTCCAATTGATTACAATTCTTAACTTTTATTTTTTATTTTTTTTTATAGAAAAAATACGTATATAAGTGGCGTGTGTCATGTTTTTAAGGACAAAATTATAAATTTACTTAACTCAGTGAGTTAACCTCAACCAATTGAACAATAATTTTCTATTAAAAACACTAACGACATTATCAATTGGACCAAATTGACACAAAATCATAAATTCATGGTCAAAATTGAGTCAATTGAAAATGTAGGGATCAAAATGACACAAAAGGCAAAATATAGGGACCATAGATGTAATTTGTCCTAAAATATTTGAGTTATATAAACAGTTGAGTAGATCATATAAGTTGTTAGTATTATTAATTTTTGGGACATTTACATACAAGTCTCATTTTGTGAACTTATAGTCCATTAAGTCGTAGATAAAATTATTTGCTCCTTCAAGTCCCATTAATTTTTAATAGACCAATCTATCCTTCCAAGACCTCCTCCATCATTGCTAGATGTCTTACTGCATGCTTAGTGTGACACTAAGTTGTTGTCTTCATTCTCCCTCTCTTACTTTTACACCCACTCCCCAACAACAACAACAAAACTTCCCCTTCTCTCTTATTTGTTTTCTCTCTTCTTTTTCTTAGTTTTAGGCTCTCTCTCTCTCTCTCTCTCTCTCTCTCTCTCTCACACACACACACACACACACACATAAAAAAAAATGGAGCCCAAACTTTTTGACTCTGGTTCTCTCATTCTCTCTCTCAACACCGTCAACACCCGCCTCGACTCCCACACCATCTCCATTCTCCTCTACCATGCCAAATCAAAGCTCGTCTTTGTTGATTTCCATATTCGATCATTAGTCCTCGAAGCTCTCTCTATGTACCCACCAAATATATAACGTCCTAAGCTCATCCTCATCATGGATGATGTAGTTTCAGACCCAATCCCCTCATCATCCGCCATTGGTGACTATGAGAGCTTGGTGAAGAATAATGATTCTGGATTCAACTGGGTTTGTCCTTTAAATGAGTGGGACTCGATCACATTAAACTACACCTCCAGGACCACTTCTTCCTCGAAAGGAGTAGTTCATTCTCACCGTGTGATTTTCAATGGTTGTGCAAAATTGAAAAATTTCTCAATTTTTTTTATAGTTTTAAAATTGAGAATATTATCAACTTAAAAGCTAGAAAAAATAATTGAAAATTTTCTCAATTTTACTGGATATTTTTGCAAACTGAAATCATTTTTAATTTTAAATTGAGAACATTCTCAGTTTTGGAACTAAGAATATCTCAATTCTTACCTACAAACCAGATCTCTAGGCCCATCTGTTTGGTCGATTTAATATGCTCTGTCTTGAACCTTGAAATTGAGCAATCAAGCATTTTAAGGACTAGAGTTACACACACACAGAGTTGTTGTGAATTGAAGTGATGAAGGAAGAGAACAGATTGAACCGGAAGCATAAAAAGTTGAGGCATCGCAAACCTCCAATTTAAAAATCCTTGAATAATCCAAACGCTAATCATCATCTAGTGTTTGAAAAGATCTAAACACTATGATAGAGGACTTGAGCTACTACACCTACCGACATTAGGACTTTTAAGTAATTAATCCTTAATTTTAAATGATAATACTCATGCATGCTTTTCTTTGTATCAAGTCAAACATATGAATGAATCCACTATCTTTATGTCTAATGATAAAAATAAAAATAAATACATAAAATTGAATAAAATATATACTCATTGAGAAAATGAAAAAAAAAAAAAAAAAGAAAAAAAAAAAGAGAAGCAATCACAAACATAGAACATAGTACAACATAATGCACAATCAAGCCAACATCACAAATAGTAACCATATGATAATCACTCAATCTACTTTTACAGCAATATTATCAAATATTAGCCCAAACTTTGTCCATGTCTACCTCAACCACCACTTCAATATTCCAATATTATCATATGTTACAGTAGCAATAATGGTTTTCCGTCTTAACCTGCAATAAGGATTTAGAGAGAAAAAACATGTGAGTTCAAGTGTTTTGTTTATAAGAATTTGGGAAAATGATTTAGAGAGAAAAACATGTGAGTTCAAATGTTATGTTTATAAGAATTTGGGAAAATGATGAGGTAACATGAAATCACGAATAACATGCATGGAATTTAAGAAATTACTGATAATGAAGAGTGGATAATAGGCAAAAAAATTCAAGTTTTATGCAAAAAAATAAAGGGTAAAATCTATTTTACCTCTTTATGATATGACCCATTAGCATTTTACCTCCCTATCTTTTAAAAATAACCACATATTTTGAACTAAAGTATTACAGTTACATTTTCCATCCAAACTAAAAGAGAGTGTGTCTCACATTCTTAATTTGAAAGTGGGGAATGTAAAAAAAAAATTTATTAAAATTAAATTTCGATGTAAGAAAACGAATCTAGCCTTATTTTACCTTTTTGTTCTTTTTTAAATCTAAATTTCTTATTTAATAACATTTTAAATGTTATTAAAAATTACTATCTAAAAAAATAATATTTTAAATTAAGCATACATATTATATATATAATTAAATTAACGTAAACACCTTAATTTATTATTATAAAAATTAATCATCACATTGTCAAAACCTAATTTTTAATCTTTGACCATTTTTTTTATTTAATAACATTTTAAAATAAATATAAACATATATATATATATATGACAAATTAAATCATAAATTAAACTAGACACCATAATTTATTACCATAAAATTACCTTATTTAATAACATTTTAAATTAAACATATACATAATACATATATATAACAAATTAAATCATAAAAATCATGTAATCTAATTTTTACTTTTTAGTTCAATTTATTATTTAATAAAATTTTAAATTAAACATGTACATGTATATTTAACAAATGAAATCATAAATTAATTAAAATTAAAAATGAAGTTTATTTAAAAAAATATTTAGGGAACTCTAGTTTCTTAAGTTAACTTTGTGTTATTTTTTTAAACTTTGCTTAGTCATGGGGGCAAAGTTATTTATTTACTTATTTACAAAGAGCAAAAAATAAAAGACGACAAAAAGGGTAAATTGTTATCGAGTTGAGCCGTGATTGAGGCCTCGAGACTGAGGCGCGAAATTGCCTCGAAATGCAATTTTTTTTTTTTTTTTTTTTTCTGGGCTAAATCATTGCAGAAAAAAATAAATAAAAATAATAAAAAAAAAAAATTTAAAAAAAAAAAAAAAAAAAAACATCAACCCCCAAAAAAAAAAAAAAAAAAATCAAATTCGAGCCAAATTTGAGCCAAAAATTTTGAGGCCTCAATCATTAATGTATCGAGTTACACTATAAGGAGGTAAAACAGATTTTTTTTCAAAAATAAAAATAAAAACAAAGAAAATAATGAATGCATAGGCAATATGTATCCAACCTCAACATGTGTGACCCCTCAGTCCCATATTGGATAGGTATTAATAGTCTAACCAACTATACATGGAATAACCCATCCTAAACTTTGTGAGGTCTTTAGTGAGAGGACATAAAGATAAAATTGTGATGGTCCATGGACCCAAAGCATATCGTGATGGTCCAGAGACCCAAAGCGAACAATATCAATATCACATAGATGGTGGGGATGGGTTATTATGCTTAAAGAATTGAGGTTGTACTTGAATCTTAAATTTGAAAAAATATTTAAAAGTTAATAAGACAGTAAAGAGCTTTTAACAAATTAGTCAGTACAAACGAAATACATAATGAGAGTCGTAGTTATAAACCATAATCACCATGTCAATCCACAAATTATCATTGGCCAATATTCAAATAGGGTCATGAAATGGGGCTTTTGTATTTCTACTTCGTATTTAACTGCAGGTCACAAAATTCACTATGCAGTTAGTTAGATGTGGCATGCAGATTGCTACTATGACGTGCAAATACACATTATAGATTGGAGGATAGCTTGAATCCAATGGTTTTTCCCTTAACTTCTGTAATATGTTTGTTTGAGTGGATTGGATTTATGGAATTAGCATTATTAGGACGGTTTGGGGTTATTAATCTTTTTGGATTGTGCATCATATTCTATATTTGGATTGATACAAGATTATACGATGAGATTGATAGTCCGAACCTCTTATTAATCTTTTATTTTGAACGAGGGATACTATGTATTTATGCATTTTATTAGATTATTAGTCCAATCCTATGGCCAAGTTCGTTCAAACAAACATGCCCTAAATGTAAAACCAGCAAGCACTTGGAGCTTTACAGACCATTTGGCTTTTAAGTTAGTATTTGATTATGTGGAATAAATGTTGGAATGGCATTGATAATTGCAAATAAAATCACTATTTACCAATTTAGAAAAAGGATAAAAGACAACTTTAGTGCCTAAAGTATGTGCCTTTGTCATTTTAGCCCTTTAAGCTTCAATTTTATTATTTTGATCCTCAAAATTGTCAATTTAAGTCAATTTAGTTATAGGTCTAACGTCCATCTACATTGATAACAGAAATATAGATAGAAGACCGTTTTTGGCCCCCAAAGTATGCATTCCTTATTAATTTAGTCCCCTAAATTTTAAATTTTTATTTTTTATTTTTTTATTGTGGTCGTCAAAGTTGTCAATTTGTGTTAATTTGGTATTAGCTCGAACTAGAGTTGAGCATTCGTCAGGTTGGGACGTCACTACATAATAAGGGATTTTATATCTTCCCAAGCCCAACCCAGCCCTAACATTGGGCCTTTACATCTGTCCAAGTCGACCAAAAAATAATTACAAATCCCAAATCCACCCATCGGCCAATATGTTAAAAACAAAAATTAAAATATTTCATAATTAAATTTAATCACTCATTATATTTTCTTAAAAAAATATATTGACATCATTATAAATTGAAGAATTTCATTATAAATTGAAGGATTTCTTAAATAAATTGAATTAAATATTACTACAAATGTGAGTTTCAATAAAATCAATGAAAATAAAGTCTACATCCCAGCAAAAAAATATTTTTTTAATATATTATAATTAATTAATTTAATAGCTAGCTGAGCTCGGCCGAGTTGGATTGACGTATAAATTCTAAACTCATTACATTAATATATCGGGTTAAATATATTGGCCCAGCTTGACCTATGGGCTAAAACAACTTTTCCAAACCCTAAAAAAATAGAGTTGAGCTGAGCGGGCCAATGGGTTGACGGCCACCCCTAGCTTAAACTGACAACTCTAAGAACCAAAATAATAAAATTAAAATTTAAGGAACTAAAATGACAAGAAGTGCATATTGTAGAGACCAAAATTCTTTTATCTAAGGATAAAATACGTTTCCTGTTATCAATGTAAACGGACATTAGAGATATGATCAAATTGACTTAAATTGACAACTTTAAGGACCAAAATGACAAATTGAAACTTAAGAGACGAAAATAATATGAATCGAATACTTTAGAAGTTAAAACTGTTTTTATCCTTAGAAAAATGACAATTTTTTTGAGTGATCAAGAAATAGTCATTCTATACTACCCAAAATCATTCCAATCAATTAAAAGCTACCTAAGAGTTAAAGTATGATAGAAAATTAAAAACTGTTTTTGGTAAGATTTTTCAAAACTAATTCTGACGTCATATTCTAATCCTATGTTTGGTAAGAGTTTTCAAATCATGATTCTAAACCAATTTCAAAACACATTTAGAAAATATGTTTGGTAAACCAGACATTTTTTGAATTTTTGGTCTAACCAAATGTCTGGCCGGTTGATCGGAATAGTAATTTTTTTTTTGCCACCTGTTATTTGGAAAAAAAAAATTATATTTGTCTTTGATATTTTTTAAATATAGAAATTATTTTTTTAGGCCAAAAATTATTTTTTTGAATTGAATTTAAAAAAGAGTTTGGTCATGAGTTTTGAATAGAATTTTCAATAAAGTTTTGAGTTGTGTGTTCGGTTATGAGTTATAAGTTTTTGAATTAAGTTTTGAAAACTCTTTTCAAAACTCATAATCAAACAACTTTTCTCATTTCATATGTTACATAAAAAATTCAAAAACTTAATTCAAAACTCATAACCAAACAAATTTTCTCTTTTCAAATCATAATTCCAAAACTCAAAAACCCAAAATACAACTCTATTTTCAAATCATAATTCTAGAACTTTACCAAAAACTATTAAAAATTGTTTTAAATGAACTATTCTAAATATGTGAAATATCTATGCCTGACAATTGACAGTTGGATTAAGGCAAGGGATATGAGTGCAACACGTTTAGTTAGACATGCAGTGGACAAATATTTTTAAGTAAACGAGTTAACTATAAAACTAAATTACGCATTATATACAAATATAAAAAGCAAATTACATCCTATCCCTTCAATTATGAAATTTATCCATGTCCTCCTGTTGTTTCGGATGAGAATTAGGTGAATCCGAACCTCAGACAAATACTCATAACCGATACTCATATTTTAGTCTATGTAAAATAGATTTACCAAAAAAAAAAAAAAATGAAGATAACATCTCCTTCATAGGGTTCTGCCTTTTTGGGGCCAAAATTGGTGCATCTTTTCATTCAGATATTTTATGCATATAATACATGTATCTGAGCATTAATAAAAGGTGGGGACTCTGGTAAATTACTGGTCTCACGCGAAAATATGATAACCTTGAATTGGCAACTTTTATGGGTGAACTATGAAGATTTCCAAAGTCAACCAGAGATAAAATTTTGTAGCTAATCATGATGATCAGGATGTATAGCATAAATTGAGGAAACAAAATTGTAGTAATCCAGTGAAACTATTTGGGAAAATATATCAAGATTGACGAATAGAAAATCCAATCATACAGTTTATTTTAGTACAAAACTAGCTTTTGAAACTAACTGCATTAACATTAGCCGTGGTTTAATACCTAATCACAACAAAACATATATATATTTTATTTATTTTGGTTTGGTTGTGGTCAATGAAACAATTCTATATGTATAACTGCCTGTTCTTGAGTGAATTGCTCATAGTGTTACTCATGCACAGAAAGAACTACATGTGCATTAGGCAGGACCCCCAGCAGAATATATATAATAACCTTTTACTGATTCTGTAATTAGATAGTAAACTTTTAAAGATATAAAACCAGAAAAAGCCAACAAGTACCATGAAGTTAGAGAGTAAAATACAATCATGATTCATGATAACTAACAAAATAAATCATTAAAGCTAAGAATGAGCATCACATACCTGAAAACATAATCCATGTTTGCTAATTTCTTCTGCCACCTTGTCTCAACATTTTCACCTTTTTATGCTTTTTCCCTTCAACAATTCTTACAAACAATTTTGGTTTTCCAGTTAAGAACATGAGAAATCCAATAGCCAATCCCAATGCCAGTCCACAGCCATACCCCATCAACACGGCTTCCCAAGTAAATCCACTTACAAAATTTGAGTCATCTTCCTGTTGTAATAGCACCCCTGGCTGAACTTGTGCCTGATTATCTTTACATTCCTTTGACAATGGAAACCCACATAATCCAGAGTTCCCAACATATGAATCATTTCCAAATGTATCTAATTGTTCGCCTCGGGGTATGGGTCCATTGAGATGGTTCCATGAAAGGTTAAAGACCTCAAGAAATGTCAAACTCATTAATTGGTTAGGAATTTTCCCAGTAAGCTGGTTTGAAGAGAGGTCTAGTGATTCGAGCTCTGTCAAGTCTCCTAAAGATGATGGAATATGCCCCGTGAGGCTATTATGAGATAAATTAAGCACTATGAGAGAAGTAAGCCTTCGGATGACATTTGGAATATCCCCATTGAATTTGTTAGATGATAAATCAATTGCTGTGAAGAGAGTAAAAATTCTCGTTAAATCAATATATGACCCCTTCATTGTCACTGCAATAGAAGCTTGATAATACGATCCAACACTCAGATATTTCTCATTTGGCATAGTCTTATTCCTCATAGCTTTGAAAATTTTGAAATATCTGCTTGGCAAATGGCCAGTGAACTTATTGTGGGAGAGGTCAACAATTCGGAGTTTAGGGAAATAGAGGTTTGGCTTGGAATTGTCTATTGGACCATGAAATTTGTTGGATCGCAAGACAAGAACGCGTAACTCTGGAAGTGTCCCCAACCAGTATGGAAAAGTGTCATTTATCTTGTTGTTTCCGAGGTCAAGAACTTGTACCTTTCTACAATTGGTTAAGGATCGTGGAACTGGTCCTTCAAACTGATTTCCATTCAAATTAAGAATTTCCAACTGATTACCCTTTCCAAATATCATGGGGATGTTCCCCTGAAAGGCATTGAAACGCAGATCTAATACAAATAGAACGTTGCTGAAGTATCCCAAACATTGTGGAATTGCACCACTCAAGTTGTTGTGAGACAAATCAAGGATGGAAAGAGAACGTGCATTGCAAATTGAAGAAGGGATCTCTCCGGTGAGTTTATTTTGTGATAAGAGGAAGTAAGATACAGAAAGTGGTGGAACTGGCAGTTGTCCTTGAATCAAGTTGGAACGAAGATCAAGAGTGTCAAGATTCTTCCAGGGAAATTGGTTTATACCTATTAGAAAGTTGTGGGAAAGATTTAAGTAAGTCAATGAAGCCTTCCCAATGATGCCAACCCATTTTGGAATCTTCCCATGAATTTCGTTGCTGGAAATGTCGAGTTCTTGGACATTCTCTAAGGCTTTAAAGAAATCAGGGAATTCCTTTATCTTGCAAGAAGTCATCCTGAATGACCTAAGATTAGGCAAGGTATTGTTGATATTGTTGATGGTGCTCACTGACAGACTATTGTATGAAAGATCAAGAAAAACAAGTTGTTTTAGATTTGAGAATGTTTGTAGCTCCACAACACCACTTAAATTATTTGACGAAAGATCAAGGTTGGTCAAATTCAAAAGATTCGAAATTGATTGTGGAATGGGGCCAGTTAGTCTATTATTGTGCAAGTGAAGTGTTTGTAGGTTGTGTAGCCCACTAATGTTGGAGGGAATGGGACCCATCAGTTCATTACTTGATATATCTAAATAAGCCAGTTTTGTCAGGTTGGCTACCCCACATGGAAATGGACCATTGAAATTGTTTCCTCCAAGTACTAAATACTCTAGGTTTATGAGATTACCGATAGAATTAGGAATTTTTCCATGGAGATTATTTGTAGAAAGACCCAAGAAAATGAGCTGATTAAGATTTGAGAGAGTAAATGGGATCTGACCATTGAAATTGTTACCTCCAAGTGCTAAACCCTCTAGCTTTATCAGCTTACCAATAAAATTAGGAATTTTTCCATCAAGATTATTTCCCCATAATTGCATATCAGTGATCTGTGTAAGGTTCCCAAGTGAATCAGGAATGGACCCAGAGAATTTGCAACCACCGAGATCCAAGGACGTCAAAGACTTGAGATAGCCAATTGAATCAGGTAATTCTCCAGAAAAACTCGAAAACCCGAGAGACAACTGCCGGAGGGAACTACTACTACTCCAGTTTACTTTGGGTAAATTACCAGTGAGATCAAAGTTGCCTTCTAAAGAGAGAATTTGCAGGTTTGGAAGGTGAAAAATGTTATTCGGTAATTTCCCATACAACCCGGTGAATTGAAGATCGAGATATGTCAAAGAAGACATATTCGTCAAAGACATCGGTACAACTGAAGATATGTTTACATCAAGAAGGACAAGTTCTTGCAATTGGGTTAGGTTTTTGAGCATCATTCTGAAATTGTGCGGTTCAAGTCTTAGTTGATCACCATAGGAGAGATCGAGTGAAACTAGTTTGGACAGGTGGCGAATTTCTGATGGGATTGAGCCTGAAAAACTGGAATCAGACAGGTTGAGATGTATCAAATTGGCAAAGTCACCAAATGCTGATGGAATGTGGGAGTAATTGAAGTGATTGAAGGCGAGATTGAGGTTTTGGAGGTGAGAGAGTTGGAAGAGGCTACTGTTAGGATGGATACTACCATAGAGCTGGCTACAACTGAGGTCAAGCCCAATCACGTGACCCGTCAGACCATCACACGTGACTCCTTCCCACGAACAACAATCAGTACAACTCTCGTTCCAAGATGACATCTTTGGAGAAGCCAAATCCAAATGCTCACACCACGAAGCAGAGCTGTTTATAGTAAACATATGCTTGAATTGCAACAATGCAAACCTCTGGTCATGTGGACACAAATGATGTGTACAAGTAGAAAAAGAAGAGATAAATGATGAACAAGAAACCTGATGATATTGCATGAAATACAAAAGGAATTGGAACAACCATATCAATCGCTCCATTTTTTTTTTGGTTTTGTTTGTTGTAAAGGAGAAGAAACAAGTACGAAGGATTAAGAGAAGAGAAGGATGAGAGGAAGTGGGTACTGATTTATTAGTCTAATTCATTCCTTTATATAGAAAAAATTTTAGGATAAATTATTAATAACTCTTAATAATTGGACTTAATTCTCATTAAATCTTATTGGAAATTAATTCAAATAAAATTATCGTTAAAAATTGATAATTAGTAATATTTTTTTTATTACAATTTTTATAAATTATCGCTAAAACTTACAATTAGTGACTTTTTATGAAAAAAATTTCAAACAGTTACTAAAATTTGAAAATTAGTGATTTTTTTTGTGATAATTTTTTTTTTTAAATTATCGCTAAAACTAATATTTAATAACATTTTTGTAAAAAAAAATTTAAACTTTTGCTAAAAATTAACAATTAGTGACTTTTTAATAGTGTTTGATGAAAAACATTGTTAATTATCATATGACCTATTAGATAATAAATCCACATAATAGGACATACACCAAAATTTTTTGGTAGGTACTTTGTTAAAAGGTGTCTATTATGCTTATATGAGTACTTGTAGTATTAATTATGAATTATGTTGGTGTTTAGTTATGAGATTTTGTTAGTACTAATTATGAATTGTGTTAGTATTTAGGCCTCATTTGGCATGCGAAAATTTTAATTTAAAAGTTAAAAAATTATTAAAAAAATCAAAAAAAAAACCTACCATTTTATCGTACACACCTAAGGCTATGTTGCAATCATAGAAGAGGTGAAATGACCTTTTTACCCCACTTTTTTGTTATTTTATTTATTTATTTTTCAAATTTCTGACCGAGCCCCTCTTTTCTGACCGAACCCCTCCTTTTTGTTAATTATATTACAAAATTAATAATTTCACAACAACACAGAAAATAACTGCATTGATTAACATTTTTTTTTTTGCTATTTAATTTTCTAAAGATTCTTTTCACAAATATTCTATTTTTCAATGTATTTATATTAGGTGTATCTAATACTTAAATAAATTACTTAGAATATTAAAATAATTCAGTGCAAAAAAAATACAGAATACTTAAAATTCTAATTTTCTGATAAGTAAATCCCGAAAAATCAAACCAAACAAACTGATTACATTTCACAAATTACAACATAATATTTTCATAAATTAATAGTTTTTTATTTATGAGAACTTTTTTGGAATACAAAATTGGTGAAGTCCAATATTTGATTTATTTTTATATATTTTTTGGGAAAAACAGAATGTAATGACACCTTTCACAACAAAAACATTCGGTGCCAAAAAAAAAAAAAAAAAAAAAATTTGTCTCTAAATTTTAGTCTCTAAAACTTTAATTTTTTATAATGATGTCAGGTAAATTCACTCTCTCACCAATTGAACAAGAAGTTACTTTTGAAGGGCAAAAATGTCAATTTACTCATTTTTACTATATATTATTTTGTTTCACATCTTTTCGTAAATGTGATGACTGGGAGTCTTGTTAACGGTTCGTTTTGTTGTATTTGGAAACTTGTTTCAAATTTTTGCTTTCATTTATTGCTATGTTGAGTTTCACATGTTTCGAAAGATGCAATGTTGGGTCCAAAGTGGCTTGGGTTGAGCTGAAGAGTTTCCTGGCTGGAAGGGCAGAGCTGCACGTGCGAGGCCTTGGGCCGAACATGCAGGAAGGGGGTCACACGTGCTGGAGGTAAGGCCGCACGTGCGGGAATTAGGGGAATTTCTGGGTTGCCTACTACATTATATGCAGGTGTGGGAGGAGGTGGAGGGTAGGAGCGCCGCACGTGCGGGGGTGAGTGTCGCACGTGAGGGAGTCGCTGAGTCCGAAATTTTTTGCTTTTCTCTCTTCTTGGACTGTGTGTGTATCACTTTTTACACATATCTCTCTCTCTAAACATCATTTTCTCCTCTTTCTCTCTCATTTCCTACATCAAACCTCACTAGATCTTTGATTTCTCCAAACCCATAAATATTTTGACCTTAGTTCGTTGATTAAAGTTGGAAAACGCTCCGAGGGTTTCGTTTTGTGAGGTGGAGATTGGATTTTAATATCGTCGAATTTGAGGGTTTCTTCTCTCTTCTTCACCAAAGTTTGAGGTAAGGATTTTCTTAGAGTTATATATATATTTGCAAGTTTATGTAAATTTCAAGATTTCCATTGGTGGAATTAAAATGTGGTTTTTGGCTCAAGAATATTGGTGGTTTTGAAAATGGGTTCACCTCTTGTTTTCTTTAAATGATTTTCTTGAAGATCTGAATCACATTGATTTAAGAAAGATGATTTTGGTGAGATTCCACCAAGGGATGAGAAAATGTCTAGTTTTGATGAAAAACCTAGAAATATGGGGCATTTTTGGAAGATGTTGAGAATCTATAGATTTTCTCGTGCTAAATGAATGAATGAGTAGAAATTTCATATTATTGTATACAAAATGATAATTCTTCTTAGCATATGAGAATTAGTGGATTTTTGGAATCTATTGTTTAAGTGTATATCTATATATAATCATGAAATGACAAATTGTTGAGAACACACGGGATGTGGAATTGTTGCTACACTTGGATAGTTATTAAATTTCTATGTGATATATGTCGAGATGTATTGGAAAGGGAAGTGGAAATTGTGCTCACAAATGGAACCTTTGTGGGGAAATTTTGTAAGTGGTAGGATGGTACATCGCATGGATAATTATCACATTGCATGGTTGATTATTGCATTGCATGGAATATTGTTCCTTTGGCACTTTAATACCTTACTTGTTATAAATATTGAATTGGGATTTGAAATTTTGCATTGAGAAAGAAATATTGTAAAACGAGAATTATTGAAACGTTTTGGGATAAATACGTTGGTAAGTCTGGATAGGAGGTGCAGATGAAATTGATTAAGTTGGCCTGAGTGCCCAGGGTAAAAGACTGAAAACAAGCACGGAGGAGAGACCACATGCCTTCCGGTTAGCTACCGATGAAGTGGGGATTTGGTAGTTCTAGTTATGCCTACTTGCAGACACCAACCTAGGGATTACCTGAGTCGTATTTACCGCCTTTTGAACTAAATTGAAAATTTCTAAATTGTTGAGATTTTAAGTTTTTATTGAGCATGATGATTTTCAAAGAGAAGAAAATGTGATTTTCTTTCAATAAGCATAGCATAACATGTGCATTTTATTTTGTGAAGCTTGTATAAAATATATACTTTGTTAAGAATTTCCTACTAAGCTTTATGCTCACTCCTATGGGATTTTGGTGCAGGAAAGGACGTGGTGATCCCGCCAAGTTAGGGCGTTGACGTATGTGTTGGGAGCATAGAGCTCTTATTTTTGTTGTGGTATATTTTTGTTAGCCAAGGGCTATAACTGTTTGGGTCCGAGAGACCATTTTTGTGTAACTGAGTTTAAGCCTTGGAATTTGTAAGCCCTTGAGGGCACTTATTTATTTATTTTTGGATTTGACGTTTCACATGTTATAGATTAATGTATTTGATATCATTGAATGTATAATTCGCATATGGGACTATTTTGTACAAACCTTAATGATCAATGATGTAAAAGTTGAAGAATTACATCCTTTCTTATAATGAACATAGATTGATCCACCTATATGATGTTATAAATTTTGGAGCGTTACAATAAAAGTCAAAAAGTTCTTCTCGAACATAGATTGATCCACCTATATGATGTTATAAATTTTGGAGCGTTACAATAAAAGTCAAAAAGTTCTTCTCAAACATTTTATTTTTTTTTACATCATCTTTTAGTCAAAAAGTCAAAAACTTGTTTCCAAATGAGGCCTTAGTTATGAGATTTTGTTAGTATTAAGAGTAAGACCAAAAATTAGATTCACTTTTCAAGTTCAATAATGCAGTAATCAATTAAAATATTAAAAATAATTAATGCTTTCTCTCATATTTGCTCTAATTATCAATTAATCATATCACTTATATATTATTTAATCTAAAAAATAGATCTAAAAGATGAATTCGTATATTATTTTCCTAATATTAATTATGAATGAAGAAAATCAAAGTCTGTCAAGTACAAACGTGGTAAGTGGGCATATAATACACATCTAAGAGGGTGGTTGTGGAAATATGAGAGTGTGTACTTATACATTGGAATACAAGTTATCAGGACGTGAAACAGTAACAACTACCGATGTTATAATTGAAGATGTCAATTTCCTTATGAAAGTTTAATTATTATGGGATTATTTTTTATTTATTTTGATAATTTAAATTATTCATCTTATATAATTAATTGAAAAAATTATCTATGTAAAATATCAAATTCAACCAACATAAATTGTTATACAATCAGATCATTTTTATTTATATAGCATACATGTTTTTAAGAATTGATTATTTATTTGTTATAATATATATGTGACTTGATCATGTGAATACTTATATTTGGTTATTCTAATTTTTTATATGCACGTTTTTTTAATTTGACATATGAGATGAACGGTTCAAATTAGGAGATGGATCCAAATTGATTCCATAATATGCCAACCTCACTTATAAAGTTGAGGTCTTTAACTTTAACAAATTTGACTCAGTAAGTACTATGGTAAATCACATGTTTAAAATTATGGTTGGGTAAGGATAGAGTTGGGTTATTTGGGATAAAATAGTCAATAAGGACAAAATATGTTAAAATAGTTAATAATACAAAATAGAGCAATGGTAGAGGGCCCAAATTTTGTGGCTCAAATGTGGCTCAAATGGCCAAAACGACGTCGTTTTGAGTACAAAACAACATCAAAATGGCCAAAACGACGTCGTTTTGGTCATTTGAGCCACATTTGAGCCACAGAATTAGGGCCCTCAAACATTTTTCTACAAAATATTACATCCAATCAATAATTATTTCACTTTGCTCTCACAATTATCAAATCAACTAAAAAAAAAACAATCTTCCCATACACAACATTTTAAGCCAAACTAAAATAGTCAAAAATAAACTAAAATAGCTAACTTCCCAAATGAGGCTATTATTAGTATTTAGGACTTGTTTAATTGGGCGAATTATATAATAGGGATAA